GTTCTTATGGTAGCATGAGAGTCTATTTTCATGGACAATAATTAGGACAAAAATGCAGGGCAGTGAAGTTAAAGATTCACTTCTTGAATGTCAGCATCAAGGTTTTCTCACATGATTTAGGAAAAAAATTCATCATGTTCTGTGCCTTTCCCAGAGGACATACCTGTCTGTCTACTTTTTGTACACTGTTCCTGCAGTTTATCAATGGGCAGTGGTAAAAGCTTTGTGGCTTGCAGGGTGAACCTTAGAAAAAGAAAAAAGATAGAAATTCTTAGATTCTGTCCTTACTAAGCGCTATGGTCTGAATGCTTATATCCCCATCCCACATTCACATGTTGAAATTCTAACCCCTGATGTGATGGCATTTGAAGATGGGGCCTTTGGAAAGTATTAGGTCATGGGATTGGAGCTGCCCTGAGTGGGATTAGCGCCCCTATGAAAGAGGCCCAAGTTTCCCTTGTACCTTCTTCAATGGGAGGACATGACAAGAGGGCACCATCTATAAACTAGAAAGTGGTCCCACACCAAACACTGAGTCTGCCAGCACCTTGACCTTGGACTTCTCAGACTCCAGAACTGTGAGAAATATTTTTTGCTCTTTATAAGCTACCAAGTTTATGTATTTTTTAATACCCGAACAGACTAGGACACCAATCTTTCTTCTGGTTTTTTTCTTCAATGTTCCAAATAACATTATACTTTCTTAGGAAGTATTATGGTCATTATGCATGTATGATCTCCTTAGTAGATATAATTACCTTTACCACTGAATAAGATATAATAGCTTTCAATGTGTCATTTTCATGAGAGTTTGAAAAATATGAGTCACTATCCCTTATAATTCACTTACACTGGTTAAATTGATTATCCATCAAATGGCACTAATACAAAAAAAAAACCCTGTCCTATAGTTGGTCAGTGTCTCTAGCTATTTACTCAGTTGTACAAAAGTCTGCAATTCAAATGAAATATATTTGACAGGTGTTATCATCAAATCCATCCTGGGGAAATGTTTTTAAAATTTTTTATAGCTGTAGCTATAAACACAGAGTAAAGGAGAAAATTCAGAGAATCATTCCAAAGATCCACAAAAAAGAAAAATGCATTTGCCTTAATTACCCAGGTCTTTTAGAAAGTTCATGGTGTATCTCTCACCTTAGCTAGCCATGTATAAAAGTAGACTCAGACAATGAGTCAACGTTTTGAACTATAACAGATGTTTAGCTGAATTTTCAATTTTCTCCATTTTGGGATGCTGGGCTGCACTTCTGCACAACCCCGAATTAACCTGGAAATTTGTGCTGTCTACGTCAAAGGGCAGAGACGCTAAAGTGTAGAAATTCATATCCAGCACCACTCAACAGGGCTGCCGGGATGACCTGCGTGACTCTCATAAACTCTGCTTGACACGCAGTGATGAAGAAAGGTTTCAGAGACAAGAGAGAGACTACATTGGTGTGTTAGAATCAGAACGGACACAGGGCACACTTTGAATGTGCCACCAGGAGAACGATCATCTGTGTCTGGGGCTCTTCCTTGGCCTGAAGCTGGTAATCGGTCCTGACAGTGATTTCATTAGGGGACTGGTCAGTCAGTCTGCCTGGTTGGCAAATACTGACATACGGTGTCTCCAGTTTAATTGATAGTTTGGTTTGTTTTTACTATTCACATGGCAATAAGATTCTCTCATAACGAAATAGTCCTGGAAGGGTGGGATAGGCTGCCCAAATGAAGTGCAAACGTTTGCTCCTGATCAAGCCATCTTCCTCACTGACGCATAGCCACTGAACACGGTATTTCTCCCTGAAGAACTCCCTCAGCGTCCCGTGCTCTTGCCTGACTCTTGGCTCACACTGGCCCTGCCACTAAGTATACATCTCCGTCTTTTATCACCGCGATGGGGTTCAGAACATGCTACTCCCAAATACGGAATCTTGGCATATTGAACACTTAAAGCTGAAGGAATTTGAGAAATGGCAGAAGCAGGAAGGTCACTCTCGCCTCCCCCTCCCCCTTCTCCTCTGAAGCAGGCCACAAAACCTAGGGAGGATTCTCTGACCTTCCCCTGAAGCAGGTCATACGGCCCTCATTCAAGGGGTGTCCTGCCTTTACCAGAGGAAGGAAACATCCTTATCTCTGAAGACAGGAGGTCGCAGAGAAGACTCTGAAGAGAAAGGCCTTGTGAAGTTCCCTCCGGTTCATTCCCATTAGATCTCACCCCCTTGTCTGGTTATATTTCTCCACGACTGTCCACTCGTCATCAGACTTTGCATAAAAATACATAAGTTTAACTTTTTCTTTGAGTCTTCATTTCAAAGAAATGAAAGGCTCCCGTGTCACACAAAACACATTAAATAAATGTATATGCTTTCCTCTTGTTAATCTGTCTTTTGTTGTAGGAGCCTCAGCCATGAATCTAGGATAAGTGATGAAAATATATTTCACCTCCCCTATCTATAACCCTTTTGGATCGAAATATCCTTTTTACCAACAGTCTTCCTCACTTATGCTATTGTCTGTCTCTGGACTGAACATATAATGGAAGTCAGGCTGTTCTGGTACAGCCAATTTTTCCTCACCTAGAGACTTAATGTAAGTCTGCACAACCACGAGACAACCACACTCCATAAGGCAGCTCTGTACATAAGGCCCATCAAGACCACCAGTAAATGTGAGGCAGGCATAGGTTTTGCCCCTGGCCTTGACACTTACTCTATGTGCAAGTTACCTGGCCTCTACGTGCCTCAAATGTCTCATTTCCGAAATGAGGATAATAATAGGATTTGCCCTGTGCAGTTATTGTAAATGTTAAGTTATATTAAATTTGACAATGCATGGAAAACACTTATCACAGAGCCTAGCACATGGTAGCCATTCAGTAAATGTTTCTCATAGTTATATTAAGTTACATGACTCCATTTCATTGCAAGTACCTGGAGTTCAGATGCTCATTTTCTATTCCTTTTGATCCCTGGTAGTTTTAAGCAGATAGCAGATTCTGGTAATTTATTTTATATGCCTAGTAAAATCGTTATGGAGTTTGTGCTATTTCTCAGTTTCAGAGTAATGAGAGTAGCAGAAAGTAAAACCAGGCATTGATGTAGAAAAACAGGGACTTTATTCTGTTCATCAGTGGTAGGTCTGCTGTGAAAAGTTGAGGAGTGGGCAGGACTCCATCCTCGGGGAACAGCTGTATGGTCACAATGACCAGCATGGCTGCTCTGTCCTCCTTCTGGAGCCCGAACCTCCAGAAAGCATAGACTCGAAGGGGAGAAATATGACAGAGAGAGCAATTGGGATAAAAACATTTCAACTTATTAATCACTTTATTTTAAAGGGTGAAGCTATGACATGAATATAGGATTTAAAGCCAGTGGTCTTGAGACTTTCATCACGCTTATGGCCATCTTTTGGCAGTGTGCCTTTAATTAACCTCTTGTTGGAATTTTAAAAATCTTTCTTAAAATATGTTTCTTTTTTCATCTTCCAATTTAAGGGAAATTAGAAGAGATGCCAATTCAGTTGCACTTTGAGGAAAGTCTGCTGATGTCAGGTCATTAATTCGAACAATTGGAGCCACCTGGCAGGTAATACCTTTTACAGCAAAACCCACAGTCTTGCCTTATGTATTTCCCAAAACCTCTATCTTGTCAAGTCAATCCAACTTAAGAAACGCTGAGGAATGTGAACATCTTTTCTAGAGTCTTCTGGAGTCAAGCCCATGTGCAGTCATAAAGTTCTTGGCATGCAGGCCTATCTCTTGCATGGCAAAACACGCAAACTTTGTGGGTGTTAGATTATTTTAATTTGCTGATAGTGCATTTGGTATGAAGTTGATTTTTCACAAATGCTGATTCAAATATTGTCACAAAACATTTGAAAATGGGCCTTTTTTTGGTATCACTAAGTAACTTCTCCATAAGTAATACCCACAAATACAAAATCACTGAATATAAATTTTCAGCTATAGTTTCTGTTCTGCTTACATAAATGTTCTTTGAGTTTAACTAAGCCAAAGTTGAGGCTAAATAGATTTTCTGTGACCATTTCATCTTTAAAATGAAGCTAAAGATTTGCATTTGAAGCCTCCCTTTATTGAATCTAAAGCAGCATATCCAAGTTAATGCCCAGAATCATCTGAATGTCAATAGTCTTGGGTGAACAGATAAACCTTCATTTTCTCTTTTAGTTGTTTAAGATACCACCTCATATCATCAGTAAGTAAAAACAATAACTTCTTGGTGAATGTACCTGAATGCAAATTCCTGTTTTATATATTTGGGTAGGAAAATAGTACATACTGAGAATAACAGGTAAGTGTTAGCAAATTCCCACATCACTTTTTTCCCTTTACATCAATGGTCAGATGTGGGAATTTATCTGTAAATGCCCCCCTGAAATGGCACAAAATTGTGCTACAGTTGGACCAAATAACCACATTGCCTGTGGCTTTGATACTTCCCCAATAAAACGTTCTTATTTGGACAGCAGTTTTGCAGTCACGACAAAAAATTATAGCATAAAGAGCTTTTGCATGACCCCATCAGCTACAAAAGAAATAGGGTAAGCATCTTATATGTGTGTACATACGTTCACATACATGCATACAAAATATACACACTCTCACACATACATAACTGGACTACGTTTCCAGGGTTCAGTGGAGGAAACACTTTTTCATTTTTAACTGTAATGTTCTCAAAGAGACGAGTCAGAAGATTTAAGAGAGATACAAGCCCAATTTGCATGAACAGTATCTGTCATATTCTTTGGGAGCTAAGTAGGCTAGATGATGATTAAACAGCATTTTTTAAGTGGTCATAGATTATTATTCTCCATATTTCAGGGCCGGGAGTAACAAGCAGGGAATCCACAGAGCACGCAAGAAGGTACCTGAAATCACCTTCTGGGGAAGAACCACATGGAAAATAATGTGGGTCCACCCCCGCCAGCTGAGACCCTTCCCAGGCAGACAGTACAAGACGATCACATTAGCACAATAGTTATACCCTAGAAAGCAGTTTATAAAACAAGCACCAAGCAACTGATCGTCATTTTCATCATAATCTTCAACCTTTAGCCTGAACAACAAAATTTAATCACCAAAATATTAGATATTGGGGGTCTCAGATAATAAGATGACCCAAATTATCATTTAACTTTTTTCTCCTTTAAAAGGTGGGCACATTGGCACTTAAAAAAATAAATCAGAAAATAATATGGCTTCAAGTGGACAAATAAATAAAAATTTCGAAGGAAGTCTTTGCATTATCTATTGCTTTCCTCTTGGTTTGGTTCCATGGATAATTTCTCCCCAAGTTTTCTAATAAGTTCTGCCAGATCTTCTGTGTTCTGAGATTTTTCTTCAAGGAGTTCATAGCGGAGACTTGAGATATCCTGCTTAATTTCCTTCAGTTCCCCTTTGAAAAGCAAGAGTGATAAGAAGTCAACTGTTAATACATAATGCCAAGAAACAAGTGATTCTAGGATAGGACAAAATCAATCCTAATTTCATATACATTTGTATTTTGAATCCTTTGAAGGGAAATAACCTCCAAATGGAGCAAGTTTCTATTTTCTCTGTTTAGTATTTTGGTGAATGAAGAGATCATAGCAAAATTATAACACAAGTCATCCTAAAGTAAGTTAAAAAGGAACCACAGAGGATGTTTTTCAGGGGTTGGGGCAGCACCTCCTCACTTTGCTCAGCCACTTCCTCCTCCCTCAAAGCCTCCCTAAAAACAATAACTTTTGATCTAGCAAGTGACCAACTGTAGAGACATAGCCTATTCCCCCTATTTAGTGGGACTGATGGTTGGTGAGATCCTGTTCTACTCTTCCCCTTGGAGCTCACCCCCCAGGCCCATCCTTCCAGCCCTCTCAGCTCCGCATCAAGCCCCTAGCTCATGCTTCGGGGCTGATTTGTCCCTGTGTCCAACTCACCTTCATTCACTTCATCACTTTCCTTGTCTATCTGGGCTTGTAGTACATATCTTTTAATGAGTCTCTTCATTATTTTCTAGACAGAGAAAGGAGAAATGCATCTCAGTTTTATGTTCATGAGAAATCTCTCATTTGCAAAAAATTTCTGAGTCTTCCTCCCTTTAGTAAGCACTTTGGAAGTGATGTCTATCGAAGATTAAGCTGGCAGGGGATGCATGATATCTCCAAATTTTGTTTTTCTTTTTAAAGCAATTTTTATATCATCTGGGCTATGACTCAAAACTTAATTCTTGAGACAAAAATAAGTTTAGAGAAAACATCTAATCTTTTATGTCCATTGCTTATCTTTTATTTGAAAAGTATTGGAGCAAGACAGAGCCTTGCAGGTGGGCAGGTTAAGGATGTGCAGTACTGCATGTGGAAACGGGAGCTAAGCTAATGTCTACTCGTTTATGTCCCGCCCCAACCCACCAAAAAATGTAGCCAGTTTTGATTTTATACTTGCTGTTAATTTAGGAATGGCTAGTTTCAATGTGATAAAGTTTCTCCAGCATGCATCTATCATGCAGGCATTCCTTTTGCTATATAGTTTTCATAAAAAGCAGGAATCCCAGTGTGTGCTCAGGAAATCCTGGATAAATGTATAGCTAAACCAAATCTTACACCTAAGCCCAAGGTTACATGATAGATAGTAAAACCCTGCTTTCAAGAATCTATTCTAAGGATATAATCTGGTCCATGACAAGAATGTTCATATTACTACTACTAACAATAGTAGAAAAAATAAACCCTTAAATGTCCATCAGTAGGAAATTATTATAATAAATTTTCATACATTTATACAAGAGAATATGATACATTCACTAAAATTAA